GGACATATTGTCAGGCGGGACCAGTCGCTGGAGAAGGATATCATGTTTGGTAAGGTGGAGGGTCAGCTAAAAAGAGGAAGACCCCCCAACGAGATGGATTGGCCAGGTGGCAGCATCAATGGACTTAAAAGTGTGGCAACAGTAATGAGATTGGCCCAGGATCGGGCAGTGTTTCATGCTGCTGTGCATAGGGTCGCTATGAGTCAGTGCCGACTCGATGACACCTAACAACAACATGTGCTTAAGAATTTGTACATAAATTACAACACGTGCATATGGTTCTTATTTCACCTTCATGTAGTATAAGAAATGGCTCAGAGTCTTTTTATTTACGTAAAAGCTGCACATGCCACAAATGGTAAATTCACTGTAAGTAGGGGATTCAAAGAGCCCTGGTAGCACCATGGATTGAGCACTAGGCTGTTAACCAAAAAATCAGAGGGGTGAAGCCACCAGCCACTCTGCAGAAGCTGCAATCTGCTCCTGTAAAGATTGACAGCCTTGGAAACCTGTGGAGCAGTTCTAGTCTATCCTGTAGGGTCACTAGGAGTCAGAATCAACTGGACAACAGTGAGTTTGGTTTGATGTTTATCTGAGGGATTGGTTCAGTCAGTTCACACTGAAGCCAAATTTACAAAACATTAAAAGGGCAAGTGCAAAGTAAATCCGTATTAGTAATTTGGGGACTGTCTGTGTTTTATTTTAATTAATTTAAATTTAAATTTAAATAGCCGCACATGGTTAATAACTACTATATTAGACAAAGCACATTTATAATAATAAGGTAGAACAGGTAACTACAATGCTATCCAAATATTTTATTTTAGCTATTACTTGTAAGCGACAGCCTCGCCATCCTCAAACACACTGCATAGTATTGTGAATAATTAAATTATTTCATTTTGCCTCACATAAAAGTTATGGATATCCAACTCATTAATAATTCACCCACCAAAAATAGTTAATACATGATCATTGACAATAAACCATATTCAGGTATACCTTATATTTTATGTTACATTTTTCTAAAAATGTGTAATTCTCTGAATATATAATTCAATCACTTTATAAATGTACTAAGGTATCTCACAATTTAAAATAATCTCCTTTTTCACATGTAAATGATTTTCTGAAACAAAAGAAATTATTTACCACTCTAAGGAGCTCTGGTAGTGTAGTGGTTACGAATTGGGCTGCAAACCTTAAGGCCAGCAGTTCGAAACTACCAGCCGTTCCGCGGGAGAAAGATGAGGCTTTCTGCTCCCGTAAAGATTTACAGCCTCGGAAACCCTGTACAGGGTCGCTATGGGTCGGAACTGACTCGAAGGTACTTAACAACAACAACGACAATTTTGCATATTTGCACATTTTGGATTTTCTTCAATTAAACCCATTCCTGGAAATCAAATTTATTTATACTAAATAAGCAAAAATATACTAGCCATCTACTATGCAACCAGAAAAAACAATGATAAGTCTGCATAGTATAACACAGATGGACCTGGAAAACATAATGCTAATGGAAGCAAGTCAATCGCAGAAGGAAAAATCTTGTATGATTGCATTTTTATAGGCAGACAAGAAAAGAGATATGTATATAGACGGAGAAGCCAGTGTTCATTGTTGGTTACCATGGAGAGATAGGGGAAAAGAAGGAATCACACTCTCGATCTTACATTCTTGCTATTTTGGGTGATGGGAAAAGGAGCACAGAATATGGGTGTAGTGAGCACAGCTTGACCAAAGTAAACAGTATCACTAGAAACGCTCAGAAGAAACAGATGCTTGTACTAAAGAAGCTGACATATAATTTGTCAGCAGCAGCAACAATGACCAAACAATATGTAGTCACAATGTACAGGCATATAGGTACAGATGTGAGTACAGATACTCTCAGACATAACCAAACACACCTTGTGAGATTGGTTTTCTAGGTTTGGAAAAGCTTAGGAACTTACTTTCATGGGACAACTCAATCAACTGGCGAACCCTAGTTCACAAGTTCATGTTCTTCCTTCTGAAATGAGTAGTGTCTAGGGTTTTAAAACCTTGTGAGCTTCCATCTAAAATACAACCATTAGTCTCTACTCATCAGGAGGAAAAGAATAAGAAGAAAATTAAAGTCTCAAATAAGAATCTAATACACAGGGCTAATAGCCTACACAAGCTACAGCCTTACCTACCCTGATACTAGAAGAAATAGGTGATGTCCAGCTACCACTACCAACAGTTCTGACCAGGGCCAAAATAGATGAACTATAAAGGAGAAGGAGAATAACACAAAACAGAACTCAAATTCATAAAAAATTCACACTTACTGAACCAGTTAGACTGGAAAATTCTCTGAGACTATTGCCCTGAGATACTCTTTAAACCTTGAACCAACACTATCTCCTGAG